TCAGATTATCTATTTTCCCATCTATGTGCCCTATTTGTAAGCAGGACAATGACTCTATGGATCATGTGCTCTACAATTGCAGATATGCTAGGAAAGTTTGGAAATACTTTATGGGAATATTTGATATTCCAAACTATGTTGATTCCATTACAGTTAGGCAGATATTCATTTCATGGTGGATGGAAGCAGGAACGAAAACGCTAATGGATGTACTGAGACACATCATGCCTGGGATTATAGCATGGCATTTATGGAAAATTTATACTCAGGCTACTTGGGGGGATCTGAATAACATTCCATCGAGTAAATTCATGATTCACAAAATCCGGCTTTATGTGCAAGAGTGGTACTACTCGAAATCTAAAAATTTGAGGTTGAAAGGGAGACCAGAACCTATACTCTTTGAAGAATGTATCATCCCCAAATCTGCCAAATTAATGCTTCCCAGGATTAAAGTAATCAAATGGAAAATACCTGATAAGGATTATAAGTTGAATATTGATGCCTCATTCGATGAGTATATTGCAGCGGGAGGGGCGGTCCTCAGAAACGGAGCAGGTGACTTCTTGTTGGCACTTCACTTTCCCATCTCAGCAAGGTCGGCTTTAGAGGCGGAACTGGTAGCTATAGTTGAATCGGTTTCTTGGGTGCTTAAACGGGGATTCAGGAACTTGGAGGTCGAATCGGACTCTAAGGGGGCTCTTGAAGCTGTTCGTGATAATAATCTGGGCGGTGTTGCACCCAGGTGTTTGGAGGAACGAGGAAAATGGACGGTCGAGGATAAGCTACACTTCAGACATGTTTACAGAGAAGAAAATAGGCCAGCTCACTTTCTTTCCAAATTAAATTTAGATGCCTTTACGGTTTTCTCGTATGCTATGGATATGCCTTGTGTTGTTCGTAAATCTATTATTGCAGATAAACTCGGTCTTAGTTTCTTTAGATATTTTTAGTTTTCTTCCTTCTTTTTTTCCCTTTTGGGTCAGGTCTAGCCCCCCCAAATTTTTGTGTGACTTACTCTATCAATAAAACATTGGCAAATGACTCCCAGCATTTGCCCCACTGATTTTGGTGGTTTGCCTTCTGGGATAAAAAAAAAAAAAAAAAAGTAACTTCCCCTATTATAAATTACATTGTTAAGCTTGCTCTCAATATAAAGTTTTAAAATATGATTTTTCTCAAGCCTTTAGACATTTACCAAATAACAAATTAAGTATCTTAAAAGTTAAACTGTTAAACTAAATAAAAATATATGAATGTTGTATAATTTGAGAAAATTATATCCTATAAATATTTGTACATTGAGCATGGTACAATCGGGTATTTTTGGACCTCTTCCAGCATTCCATCTCCAATCGACACACTGTTTCGATATATTGTCATGCGCCGCTCGCGAACATGACTCATCCCTTAGGTTATCCGCCATATACGTGGTGGCTGGTTGAAGTCTCTAGATCGTGACCAGAGGTATTGCTATCGTCGCAGATCTGAAGGTGCGATCCCGTCGCTTCAATTCCAAGCCAAAATCATTGACACTTGGGAGACAAAGCCCTTCGGAAAACATGTCATCGCAAGGCTGGGGGCTTATTCCGCGGGATGAATCTCAGCTGCCTCTGGATGGGTTCTAGTTGTCGTAGAGATGGCAGCCTCAGGATGAATTCTAGCTTCTTTATGTTATACTGATATGAGCATAGAGACCAAAAAAGTTGAACCTATTAGAGATTTTGAATGAACTTTTATATTTTTTATGCGGACGAAACTTTAAGGGGAATTTGTAAACTATTATTTCTTTACATAAGCTACAAATTATAGAGTTTGTATACCATACCATACAAAAAATTGAGCATTCAAAAATTATCTTCAACCTTCACTTTGAGGACACAGACCTTTTGGATCCATAGGAAATTCATAAGTAAGAACAACCAAAATTAGCTTAGGAGTTTTTACTTGGATTGGAATTTTCTGGTCAGGTCTGGTATGGTATGATATGATCTGGTAAATGTGTGGTCTATATATGTGTATTTTAAAACTAACCAAGTCTGGTCTGATCTGGGACTAAAAACAGTCCAATCAAAAACATTACTCCAAATTTGTGTAAATTCACATTTTAACGTTTAATAATAAGCCCCCCCCCCCCCCCCAATGAGAAAGGGCATAGAGTGATAGAACCTTACCCCGGATCAAAGAATACATAGGGAACATTTTGAGCATCTAAAGCTAACGCACCTCTAACTCTGGAATGAAGTTCCACGAAATTTCTAATAATGATAGAGGCAATGAAATCAGCTAAAGTAGAAAGCAGGTTAACCACTTTATTAGTAGCCAAAGGACAAAAGGTTGGTGTAATGTTAAGTAGTCACAAAATAAGGCTGATTTTACGCACCATTGGAATAAGATTTTCTGCATGAATCGTCTTGGATTTGGAAAGTAAACAAAAGGCTGCATATGAATCCATCTCAAGAATGAAATTCTGGTGCCCTACCAAAGTAATGCATGTAAGTATCTCATGCATGCAATAAAGCTCCGAAAAAAGCATACTAGCCGCAATTGATGGGTAAGTGATGGCTAATATAAATTCTCCATTGGTATTTCTTAAAATCGCACCTCCTCCATTAGAAGAGGCATGGAAATTGAGTTTATGACTACTAATTGGTCTACTCCAAGTTGCACTGCAGGTTTGTAGTACCAATTGGGTATTAAAAGCTCACTATTGCAAAGTGTGCCCCTAGTTGCTACCCCTGAACGCATTACCCCTTACGAAAAGATGTTTTTGGATGCATATGATCAGGGAAGGCGGGAGGGATGAATTGATCTCCCCAAGCAAAAGCCGCATAAGTCTTCCAAAGAAACCATATCATGAGATAACCATAGGTAGAATATTAATCAATAATCCTTTGATTGTTGAATCATTAGCTTGCAACCACCAATAAATAAGTTGTTGTTTCAGGGGACATATGGAGCGTAGAGGGTCGAGGTATGCGTAGAAGTCCCATGAAGTGATGCCACAAATCTAGCTGTAGCATATTGACAAGAGTAAGGATAGTGGTTGAGGTCGGCTTCATGCTTGTAACAGAATGGGCAGTCAGATGACAATGCAATTACAAATTTGCATAAATTAGGTGAAAAGGGAAGAATATTATGGATGACTTTCCAAAAAAAATGTATTTTTTGTTGTTGTTTAGGGTGCCATAACTGTTTAAAGGAGAGGATGCTACATTTTTTATTCCGCACCTCCTCAAAAGCAGATGAAAGAGAGAAGAGACCGTTCAAGCTGGAATTCCAAGTGATAGATCAATTTGCCTCAAGCGTGATTAAATCATGCAAAGCCTTCTCCATACCGGAGAGTCAGATAGTCCGAGGATCATATCTTCCCTAACATACCATTTATGTAGGTAAACAGCAAAGGGATATATTTTCCTTCCACCCCCACCAGAGTTTATAAGAATACACTTCTTGTAGGTGGTGCAACGATCTAATACCCAAACCCCTCATGTTTAGAGTAGCAAATGTGTTTCCACGATAACCAATGATAAGATGGTTTGTTGGATGAGCAGCCCCCCCCCCCCCCCCCCCCCAAAAGCGTGCCATTTTCTTCTCAAGAATGGATTTTATTTTTTTTGGTAATCTATCCACTGCCAGCATGTGTAACAGTGTAAGGGTATAGTGGATAGTACATGTCTTATAATAACCGCTCTACCACATTGAGATAAAGATTTGAGTCTCCATGGAGCTAGTTTTTTCTCGAAATGCTCAACCAGTTTGCCACAATGGGAAGCTCGAGTAATACCTTTGTGAATAGGTACTCCTAAATAAGTGAAGGGGAGTTTTGAACTTTTCATTTGAAGAGCCTTTTACAGACTATTTTTTCGAAACGTTGGGAGTTTGGTATGAGTGATGAAGGTGCTTTTGTGAAGATTCACCTTCTGCACGGTAGCCAACTGATAATTGGAGAGGAAATTATTAAAAGCGAGGAGGGGTTTAATAAGAGTATTCCTTGCTAAAAGATCATCAAGTCGTCTCCAAAAGCCAAATGTGAAAGAATAAGAGTATTCCTTGCTACAGCAATTTCCCTTTTGTACATCTAAGATGTACATCATGTTATATTAATAGAACTTTTATTTTTAATTTTTTTATCATAACTTTTTTGTTTTTAATTAACACAGTATAGTTCTATACATGTAAATTGTATGGTATTTCACGTACATATCTCTTGAAAAACATCTTAAATTTGGTTGATTACATTCTCATTTTATTATATGCAATTACATTCACACTAATATTACTGAGATCTCTCTAGTTTTATATTGACACTAACTTCTCTCTTAAAACTACGAAAAAATAAGTGTTTACACCTCAATGTCCCTAATTACTACGTAGTATATGTTGCCAAAACAAAATTACTGCGTAGTCTGGGCCTCTTATGGTCGAGATTTCACTCCTATGGGCCAACTCCATCTGTCACATATATTAGTCTTGAATACATTGAAAGGTATTTTTGGTCTACTAATTGTTCCAGTTTAATATTAGTCATGGAGTTGGCCAACCTGCCTGCCAACTCCATGGCATCAAATTTCTCTTCAACAATACATAGTAGTATAGTACGTAGTATTTTCTAATTCTATTATAAATTATTACGTAGTACTAAAATAACAATTCTTATTGTTACTTGTTAGTACATAAATTTAAATCTTGCGGCCAAAGATGACATTGACAACCATAGTAATAATAAGATAGAGAGAACACAAGAACCATATAACTGATGTTAGCCCATTTAAAATCTAGCGAAGCCCAAATACCAATTGCACTGGCCTTTAGTAAGATTTAAGAATGCCAAAAAAACACATAGCAGAGATACTATAGACCGGAAGAAATTAGCATCCTTCGATTATCATAGTAATAAATGCACTTGTATAAGTTTATAACCAAATGAAGACCGGGCAAAATGGCATCCGCGGATGGCGGAACGGCAGAAGCAAGACCACGTAAGCAAAAAAGGTACTGTAAGAACTGTCAAAATTTTAACAACATAGCCATTGAAACACTGAAAGTAATATAAAACTGAGTCAAGTTTGGCATAAATATTAACATTCACGTCTACTCCAATACACGCGCACACACATGTACACTTTGTCCATTTCAATTGTGTCCTAAAAAGCCAGAGTTGGAGCTTTATAATACAGATAGTATAAAGCTTAGATTCCTTCATGGATTAGCATGTTCAGCAATCTTCTTCTCAAGGGAATTCTTGTCAGCACCTATAACCTTGTCAACCTCATTACCCTTTTTAATAAAAATGAAAGTTGGCACACTGCTAATGTTCCACTTAGCAGCCACTTTCTTGGCCTCATCAATGTCAACCTTCAAGAACACAACTTTTGGATACTTCCCAGCAAGGCTCATATAAAGTGGGGACATGTAACGGCACGGCCCGCACCATGTTGCAGTGAAGTAAACTACTGCAAGTCGGGATAGTTCTGATGCAGCCTTTAGCTTACCATCCAGCTCTTCCTGAGCATTAACTCCAATAATTTCACCTGGATAAAGAAGGGAAGCCCGATGCACGAAGGCATCCCCGCAAGGCGAGGGTCCGGGGATTGGTCCCACCACAAGGGTGTATAAAAACATGTCAATCATGACACCATAAACTTTGAGGCATTCTTTGGTGCTGACTAGACTAGGATGGATCACCAAGTGATAGGAGATCTAATGCAAGATTATGTGTAATTATTGGAGAAAACTTGGTTTCAATGACACGCAAGAAGATAAAATTTGAATGTACGATCCATAACAGAGTCTAAGTATCGCGTTATAGGCCACACTACTAGTAACGGATATACAGTTTGTTAACCACAGATTAACCAGAAGATACAAGTACCACTCAAATTGTGGTGTGTTTAATGAGTCCACCATTTGTAGTACTAACAATCTAGTATTCTATGAATGGACAAGAAAAATAGAAATGGATTTTGTATGTAGTCCCAAAAGAATGTTTAATAACAATCGGTCTCAAGACTCAACTGTGCACATGGACCCGGATACCGTATGACATATTTGTTCACAATAGCACTTGAATAGCGAAAGAGTGGGATAGATATGTGACAAGTTGGGCATGATTTGTATGCTCCAGCTTAAGGGCCTGTTTTGTTTATCCTAGAGAGAGTGGATTGAACCCGGTAAGGGTCCCTGTGTGTGTGTGTGTTAAACATGTAATTAGAAACAAGATATTAAGTTTTTGTTAAAGCAGTTGGCAATGCTCACAGATCATAACCGCATAATAGTTAATTAGTCTCAAGCAAATAAACTAGTTTCAAAAAGGAAATCAATTCGATGGACCACATACCGTCCTTCAGAGCAGAAGTGGCTTCAGGACCCTGCACCATTTTAAGAAAGAATATTCCTATGAGAAATGGAAACTGGCAGACAAGGTATTATACTTCCAACTCTTTTTTTTTTTTCGGTAAGTTGGTTTCATGGTTCATTCTTTTTATGTGCAGGGGAATAACTCCAGTCACAACTTAAGCCACATAGAAGCACGGGGCTGGTTTGCGTGTCTGATCCAAATATTTATTAGGATGTTTTTAATTTGACTGAAAGTTTCTAGTTTGGTTTGGTCTGATTTGTTTAAGTCTGGTCTGGTAGATGTCTAGTCTCTATGTGTAATTTACAAATGTCAAAGGCTGGTCTGATCTGTTTAAATCTGGTCTGCTCTGTTCTAGGACTGAAGTCAGTCCAAGTAAAAACATCCTTAGTATATTGTGCTTAGTGTTTGGGTCGTGGATTCCACTTAGCGCTTAAGTTTTGATAAATGAGTTGAAAATGGTATAATGTGAAGTGAAACTTCAAATGAAGCAAATTGTGGACAGGAGGTAATTTTTTTGGATGAAAGGTAAGTATATTAAACAACCAAAAATAACATTTTACAATGTATCAAAACTATCTAGGCTAGTAAGGGAATTGACTAAAATAGTATCCAACCATGCAAACCCCCTCCCCCACCAACCCCCTTGGGAGGGATGGGCAGGGAGAGGTTTTTATGGCAAAGTCCAAAACGGCACAGGACAGGCCCTGGCTTGTATCCCAAAAATCAAAGTAACCAAGCTGCACTGGCCCCGAAGAGCCAGCCCAGTAACGAGTCAAACCCTCTCGAAGGGGGCTGTCTGTGAGCCAATTAAGGCCCAGTTCCAGCAAAGTCACCAAATCCTAGTAGTAGCCGAGCTGGGCCATTAATAGGGCCAAGGAGGCCTTTTTCCAGTCCAGCATCAATCAAAAGAAATCACAGCAGCATCCTGCACGTGCACGATGTGTGCAGCAAGCCTCCAGCGTCCAATCAGCGAACAAAGCCCAGCCTTCTCGCATCCAATCCCCACACGTGTAGGCCCAGATCCAGAAGAGCAGCCCAGCCCAAACCTTTGCCCCCACCCACGCATCGCTTGGAACCCTAGATTCCATCCGCGCCTCAGTCAACGGTCCAGCTGCAATGGGCCATGTGAGGGACAGACAATCGACAGGCTGTCAGCAGCCATCTCATCGCAGGCCAGTTCAGGCCACCACCAGCGAGCGCGAGCTCCGGCAAACCTCCAACCACGACCGACATCCCCCAACCGCTCTTCCAGACATAAGCCTACCGGAAAACAAACCTCCCCCACCAGGGGCGGACCGTAGTAGAGACCCTGGGGGACTCCCCCTCCCCCCCCCCCAACAACAACAACAAATTTTTTTAGTGTATATATATACTAAAAAAAATCGTCACCGCAAACAATAATTTTCACCCCAAAAAAAATTTTGAACCCCCACAAGATGAATTTTCTGAGTCCGCCCCTGCCCCCCACCCCCACCAGGCCCCAGCATCCAACCAGGCGGCAACGGTGGAGGGAAAAAAGAACCTGCTAGAATGGTAACTAAAAGTCAAATCAAACCACCAAAACATCAGGAGTCTAGATCCACGCGACCAGCAAAAGCAGAGCACCTTCAAATAGTCCAGGTCCAAAGCCAGAGTGGGGAAATCCGCCGGCCTCGATTGTTGAACGGTGGTGGCTGCCATCTCGGAGACCCAAGCTCTGGCCAAGTAAGGGCTCGTCGTGACAGAAAACACAGTGACAGCAACGTTTCAAACCTGCAGAGAGGAAGGACATCACTGTGGAAGCACATCCTCTCGCCGCCAAAGAGAGAAACCATCACCGGTGAAAAAGAGGAATCTTACCGGCGACCCAGCAGTAGAGTAGAACCAGTAAGCCCATCCTCAACCAGAAATCCCAGAAAGCCATGCCTAGTGTCCCCCCCACCAGGACCCCACCCTCCCCTGCCATTTCAAACCAGTCCGGTGCACTGTCCGGAGACTGAGAGCTGCTAGCACGAGAAAAGCTTTCGTTTGGTTGAGGCTGTAGACGGGAGAGAGGAAGTGGACACACCTTCCAAACAATCGAACGGTAAACCGGTGGAAGTGAAACCGCCGGACCCTGTCCCACCATTCAGTGCACTATTCACCAGTTAACCCATCAAGTAGCAGTGACCACCTCCAAGGTGGCCAGTTTCCAAACATCCGGCAAACCAAAGTAAACTCACTGTAGCCATGTGAGACCCACCGGAGCCAGGAGGGCTCCGGCGGCAGTGACCACCGTGAGTGGTGGTGCCACACCTGAGGAAGGGGGAAGAGAGAGAAACTAGGAGGAGCCTAGCAAGAGAACGCTCTCAACACTCTCGAGAACCCTTCTCAGTACTTTTGCTATCGAATGGAAGGGGGGTCAATTACCATGTTCAAGAGGATTGTAACTTTCGTAAGAAATGGCCAACTTGTTTTGCTACCGGGGTATAGTGGGAAGTTTTCTTTAAAAAAAACTTCGAAATTATAATGTATTCTCCTTAAAAGCAAGGGTTTATTACCCATGTCGAGGTTATTTTGTTACCACACATCCACTAAATACACTCCACACTTCATCCTCAGCCAAACAATAGTAAGTACCCATTTACACTCCCTCCCCCCCCCTTCTATCACTAACCCTCTCTTACATCTCCCCTTAGCTACCTATAACTTTCACTTATCCAAATAGAACGTGAGAGACATGTCGATCAATGATACGAAGATAATAATGCATACATACATAAGTTATTAATTGATTGACTAAATCAATTAGCATGTGAATAAATTAATTACATACATATATATATATATATATATATATATCACAAATTTTTGTATAGTCTAATTGGAGGAGAAACGTTAAACAATGACAAGCAGAACACAACAAGAATCAATTAGCCAACAACAAGGCTGTAAAGACCATAATAGATAATAAAAATCACTTCAATAGAAGTTTTACTTACAAAAGTGTGTTCCTTTTTCTCCTGTTTAAAAACAACCTGCGGTGAAAATGTATTTACATATGTGAGCTTCAATAGCCAGTTAATGAAAGAATTTATAAAATGCACTTATAGAGTTATATCATTATGAACACCTCTTCTTTTTTCCATCGTCTCTCACGCTCAATTTTCTTAAGCTCTCTCTCCTTCCGCAAACGTTCATATTTCCGGCGGTGCTCTTCAATTTTACGGGCATTAGGTTCAACCTGCCATGTTGCAAAGATGGAAGAACAGCTTTAATGAAATCTTCCGAGTGCAAAGAAAGCGAACTAGTGAGAGAAAACTACACTAGACGCAAAACAATCACTACCACACCTTTTTTAGCATCTCATTAATTTCGTCATCAAAATCTATTTTTGATGCTACATGCAGATCACTAGCAGCTTCTTCCCATAATCCTAGCATTGCCCTTGCTATTCCTCGTACTTTATATCCTTTTGCTGAGTCAGGATTGATCTTACATTATTAAAAAAAATCAATATCAAATAAATGTAATATAAAGTCGAGATACAGTCATTCTCTTAATTGCATTGATTTTATTTTTAAGGAGATACAACTCACTGTAGTTTTAAACAAAAAAAATCATAAATATCAAACTTAGGACATAGTTTGAATGGGACAATCATTTTTCCCCCGGAAAATATGACTCACTCACTCTATGTAAAAATTAACTGCTTTAGTTTTTCAACGACTGAATGAGTCCTGGTTTAGGAGAAAAGCCAGATAGTCCTATTGGGGTTATATTTGGTTTTATCTTTAAATAGCTGAACACAAACAAACCTGTAAAGCAGCATTGGCATCACGGACTGCAGCATTTGGCTTTTTAAGTTTAACAAACATGTTACCTGTGGAGTGTGGAAGAATATCAATTTCTAAGACAGATTCAAGTATGGGGCAAAAAATAAACAGAACAAGAACATTTATGGATTTAGTTCAGATTGATTTTATGCAGTTGAATCACCTCTTGTTGCATATAATATCGCTGAAATTGGATTCAACAAAATAGCTTCTGTTAAATGATCTATAGCTTCATTAAGATTCCCTGACAGAAAAGTTTAGCCATAAGCAAATGTACTTTCAAAGTAATAAAAAGTTACGCATCACGATCTCAACCACAGTAATACCCTCAGAGAATGCAGCCACAGCTTTACACTTCAAAATCTGAGCAGCATCTTTGCTTTCCTCTGTTACCTCTATTGAAGGGTCGCCCATCTGACATGGCACAAGAAATGAATTGGTTCCGTATACAACATTTGTACGATTCAATTTCATCTTCACATACATCAAATACCTTTTGTGGAGGATCATTGTCAGGCCCCACAACATTAGTAGTATCCAATTCAACATCAGACTCAACTATGTCTCCGTACATACTATCGTTACTTGAAAAATTGGGCTTCTTGTAATCAGGAAACTCTTCATCATATTTCTCCTAGAGATGAAGTTAATTATTCATGAAAAACTTCAACAGCTATGGAGATAATCAAAATCAATTAACAGAACCCCAACCAAGAAAGTGAAAGAACAAAAGTTCCACACCTCTAATGTGTTAAATAACAAGTGTTAATGATGGCAGGCATAATTTCATATGCTCATACACATTTACTCATATACATTTTACATCAAATACTTTTATGGCTTAATAATAAATTGAATGGTTTGGCAGGTGGTTTAGGCCACAAGTCAGGGGCAGATCCAAAGGGGGCAGGGGGTCATCCCCCTCAACCCCACCCAGCCCCACTATTGTGCTAAAAATGATATATAATCTGTTCATGGCTTCTTGGAACAGACGATAAGAGCTAGCAATGATGGAACAAGAGCAATTTTTTTGCGCGTAGGGGAGTTATCAAATTACACATGGATATTCCTGTTTGGTTTAGCCCAATTTGAAGGATCTAAACTAGTTTAAAATAACCAAAAACATTAGTTTAACTAATGATTGATAAAATATTTGCAAATACATCTTTGCAGACGCATGATACAAACTGGTCTCAGTTTTACATATACTTGTGCATTTGCAACTTAAATTAATTCTAATTACATATTTCATCCGTCTCTTATTGGATTTATTTTTTGATTGACATAGATTTTAATCAACAATAAATTTTCAAATTAATAATTATTTCTGATAAACTGTGTCATATGCCACCGGCCACAACCATAATGCGACTTTGACCCCTTGACCCGAATTTCTGGAAACGCCACTTGCCACAACCACTAGAATAAGGAAAAGCAGCAACAAGTAATATAAAGATATGACATCTATTTATATAATAAGTGATATGGAGTACATATTTATTAAAATGGAGCAAAGTATTTTCTGGTATTATCATTTAAGTACAAAGACTCCTACATAAGTAGATAGAGCTAAAAGCCTCCTAAAGACACACAAACATTTTTAAGAATTGTGCACCCTCATCAGATCTTTGAGTATGAAGTTGAGGTGGAACAGCCAAATTGTGCACCCTCATCAGATCCATTTATTCTACCTTTCTAGATTAATAAAAAACAGAAAAAACATTTTAGATACATTTCCTTTAATATAAAGTGGTGAATTGAGCTATAGCTGCTAAACAGGGCGGCAAAAGTTTAATCCCATCTGGTGTAATACTATTCATTTTGGGGTAAAGTGGTGAAATAGCTACGTAACAGTTCTGATGGTGGATTTATAACTTTGCTTGCAGCTAGTCTAACTGTAGTCACTCTACAGTGACTATAAGCGAGTCATGCTACTTGCTCCGAAAAAAAAGTAGCTGATATGCTCTTGTTTTCAAATAAACCTCGCTTACTTCTCCAACACCAAACACTCAAGTAAGTAAGATTCGTTTCTTTGAAGCATGTTACAACTTACAAGTATCTAAACCCACACAATAGCAGAAGTAGGTGGACAGTGAATCAGTGAATGGGGTCTTACTGTTTTGATCTTCGGAGGAATTAGAGCTCCCAGGCTGAAAATCAATTTTCTCAATCAAATGTTATAGTGAACGGGTGCTGGAAATAGGAGAACAAATACTAGCCAGGAATGTACCTTTCGAGATAGTTCTTAAAAAATGAAAGCGAAGGATTGTATAATATTGAAGGGTCGGCTTTGCAGCGATCAACAAAGAACTTTAGATCTTCCAGCCTCGTTGCATCCATGTCCACCTCTCCCACAATCCCCCCTCTCTCTCGCCGTCTGTACTCCAGTTACCGTCAAGACTCCAGCAAGCAGTATGGTACACCCGTGAAAGGTGTCATTTTAGGAATTTAGGTGAGGCTTCGACTACAATGAGTCAATGACTAAAATGAATTTTTATGGAATTTATGAATTATACGGGGTCCTCAAACATTTGGTTATTTTGATGAACTTTGATGGATTTCTACGTACTAAAACATTTCATCACAATCTTGTGGACTCTTCTCGGATTTCAAAATCAACGATCATTTAAAATTCATCAAAGTCATAGTTGAGGACACCCCTTAGTGTACGTTTAGTGAACATCTGACCTATTTTAGAAGTCAAATAATGAGCATTTTAGAGGACACCCCTTCATGTTTTCTAATTCATTTTTTTTTTCTTTTTTTCCTTTTATAAAAACTTATTAAACTATAATTATAATCAACTCCTATGAATTTCAATATATGAATCTAATGAAAAAAGGGTTCCCATTTCGACGATGGAAGATCTTTGGGATTCTGATGGAAATGAGACTATTTGTCAAAAAGCTCTACTAGTCACTCGGGAGAATTACTTACCTACAAAAAACCTAAACACTCAGAAAAGAACGTATAAAAAGAGGAATCAACGATCACATCTGATGAAGACTATATCTCAATCTCGGATAGAGATTTGAAGTGTTGTTTGGGGCTCGTTTAGGGTTGGGTTTATTTAGGGAGGGAGGGATCTCTTATTTTTACTTAGGGTAGGGTTTCTTTGATTTAAATTTTATTTTTGTTGTTTCTCTTTTCATTTTCTTCTTTATCTTGTACCGTTATTTATTTCTTCAATAAAGTTTACTTTTTCTGTCAAAAAAAAAGAATCTAATGAAATGTGGTATTTTTAAAATATGGATTGATATGATATTTTTAAAATGAGAATAATATCAGTACTTGATGAGCATACGCAACTTATAAAATGTACATTGATATGAAAATCGTAAGGTTTGTTAGTTGAATATCACGACATTTTCATTCAGCATCAAACATCCTCTATTGAGATCAGACCAGACCAGACCAGACCAGTTCAGACCAGACCAGTTCAAACCAGACCAGCAAATTTCAGTCCAAAAGAAAACATCTTAAAGCACATTTCTAATGTGCTCAGTATTATTAATTATTAATATATAAAGCTGAACATTCAATTAATTGAATCATTAAATTTGTGAGTTGAAAAGGGGAAAGGAGAAAGTTGCAGGCTCTGAAAAGCGCAACAATTGCGGAGGTTTTTTTTTTCAATAGAAGAAGAGGCATTTTTGGAGCTCCGATGTGTGGCGTAGGAGACGAAATAGAGTTATCTAAAGCTTCGATGTGTGACGTAATAGAGGAAATCGAGTTATCCAGAGCTCGGAGCAGCTGCAGAGTCCAAGTCCGCCAATTCGCCTTCTCTCCCTACCAGCTTGGCGATTTTATGCGCATAACTGAGCGAGGAAGATAATCAGCAATTCAGAGATTAGGGATGAGAGGATCAAAGTCTTGAAGTTGGTACATATTACAAAAATATTGAGTGTATAAATGAGCATTAATGAACTTTTAATGAACCTCAAACCTATTATGTTGAGTATTATTGGGTATCGTGAATTCTGCTTCATAACTTTTTATTCAATTTCTTTTTCTTATTTTCATACAAAATTCATAAATTATATCCATAATCAACTCATATGGATTCCAATATACGAATTTGTCTAATATTAAACTTTTGAAATATGCATCAAAACATTTTCATCGATTATCAAGTCTCTTCTATTGAATATTGAAACTCTGCAATTACATAAACATTTCAAAACATAATGAGCATCAAAACATCTTCATTGAATAGTAAGTCATGATAGGGCTTATCTAGTTATCTTACATCGGTATATCAATGTACATGCCGTGTAAATATTATACTCATTTGGGTTTAACATAAAATTCATTTTTGTACTCATTTTATAATTTTATACCAATGCTCATTTCTTTGAAAGTTGTGCTCATATACGTATAACATAAAAATCATTTCGATAACTCACACATGTAAAATATTCATTACAAATAACTTAGAATAAATCTTTCTTAACAATAAAGCTCAACCGTTTTAGCGCCTGAGATAACACTTAGAAAATAACAAACAAAATCAAGAACTCCTTGAATCTTTTTTTTTTTTACCCCAGAAGGCCAACCACCAAAATCAGTGGGGTAAATGCCGGGGGACATTTACCAAAATTTTATTAAAAATAGAGCCAAATACATTGGGGGCTATACCTGACTCAATAAAACAAAACAGATGAAAAGAACAAAATCAACCAATATGGTAAAAAAAAGAACCAAAAAACTAAAGTCAAATTTTCTATATTCTTTTTTAATTCCTAAAAGTAGGAATACCATTTTTATCCAACTCTAATAACACGAAAATATCAGACGGTAAGGAATAAGGAACGGTGAAGTTTCTAAAATCGACCTTGTCCAAACCAAGACGAGCCAGAGAATGAGCTACTCCATTCATTTCCCTGTAAATGTGTTTTATATGAACATCAAGTGTCTGGCAGAGCATCTGAGCTTCATCAATCGTATTCTGAAGATAAACCGGAGCTGCGGATTTATTCAGAAGAATTTTAGTCACCATTTCCGAATCAGATTCCAACTGAAAATCATGTTGGCCAGACCTAGCACACCATTGAAGAGCTTTGAGAACTGTTTGGATCTCAGCCTGGAGAACCGTTTTTGCCCTAATCGGCGTAGAGAAAGCGGCAATCATTATTCCTCTGTCATTTCGAAGGATTCAGCCTCCAGCGCACCTACCATTGTAGAAAGCTGCATCAACCGACATCCTCAACTTAAATGGAAAATTGTTCTTCCATGTGAGAATTTTTAGCTTGTATCTTCGAATCCTCTCATCAATAATACCCTCCTGAATGAATTCCACCTGAATATCCTTGAGATACTTTTTAGGCAGAATAGAAGTCCAATGGCGACAATACTCCTTAATATTTGAGATAATGGCACCAGCTATAAAATGTTTATTGTCCCAAATCAATTACCATAAAAGGTATTTAAATCAATGCAATAGGAACTATTATGCAAAATAAATTATACATAGTCAATACTATATTCAACTACAACAAAGTTTATTTAAAATTTGCTCAAAAAATGAACAAAAAAAACACTTCGGATTTTTTACGGACAGTTGGTGGTCATTACTATTTAGAATATAATTTTAACAAGACTATTAGATTGTTACTAGTTAAATAGAGGGGGGAATTTGACTTTGCACCCCACTTTTTGTGTGATATTGGACTTTGCACCCCACTTTCAAAAAACTTTGACTTTGCACCCCAACACATAACATTTTGTGAAGAAAATTTTCTAAATGGGGTGCAAAGTCAAAGGAATTTTAAGTGGAATGGGGTGTTGATAAGTCCGTATTTAGACACGCATTTGATGTGTGTTGAGATCGGCTTTTGATGGTTTTCCTAGCTTTAAGGTGTTACAAGTCTCAATTTTAGCTCAAGTTATGTTTAACAGGTGTTGGTTCGAGTTTTGTGTCATTTGGAGTCAAAATCAGGATTTTAGAGTTCAGCACTGGCGCTTGAGGAGAAATCAGGATGAGTTGAGAAGCATTTGAGATTGATTTGAGAGCTATGGAGGTCACCGGGAGGTTTACGATGAAGATTTGATGACAAAAGAGCTCTAGGATTGGTTACTAGATCAAAAGAAGACGAATAGAGCTGGAAAACGACAATCAGGATGACCTTCTGTCAATCGTTCAAGCATATCTCTATGTGGAATCATCCAAAGGACACGATTCAAGTTGTATATGAAAGCCAACTTCAAGGTCTACAAATCATATGAAGACATCATTCCGAGAATCTGAGATGATCAAGGTGAAAACAGACGATGAAGTCAGATGATCTTTGTTGCAATTTCAGAATGACACCTTCCATCATTTTATTCATATCTCTTGATTGGATGATTCAAATCTAATTCGGCAAATTAGGGTAGATAGAGGACTTCATTATCTACAACTGTCATGAAGAAAGTTTTGTCAAATTCGAAAGTTTGACGCACGCCGTGCGTAGGGGAACGCACGATCGTGCGTCTGAGGCGAGAAAGCAAGAGAGCCACTGCCACGTACGCACGATCGTGCGTGGCAAGGTACACACGATCGTGCGTACCCCCGAAACGCGGATTTCAGCTCCTTTTTAGTCCCAGTTCAGCCCAAACTCATCTGGTTTCTATAAATAAGGCCTCCATAACCCTTTTTGAGGGTTACGAACATTACGGAGAGGCCTAGGGACGAATTTATTCATTGTTTTACGCTATTTTACTCCAAGAACCTGGGATTCTTTGTAAGTTCATCTTTTTAATTAATGACAATTATTTCTATTCATCCCAATTCTGTTGATTCTTCAATTATGAATTGTGAGTAGTTTAGTTAGGGATTTGAGGTTGATGAAGGGGTTAATCATGATGTATGGCTAGATTCTTGTCGGTTTAATTGCATGAATACCGTTTGATTTGTGTTTGAATAATTTAACTGATATCTTTTGTAACCTAGAACGCGCGCTAGAATTACAATTGTTTATAGAATAAATTAAGAGAGATCCAGTTTATTCTGGGACACATTCACACACACTTAGTCGTTCGCTAAGAGATTAGTAGCGATTAAGGGGCCATAAGCTCGCTCGTCTTGGCAATAATTTAGGCCCCTGTCGCATGAGAGATCAGCCTGGTCCCCTAAATTATTGTACTCTACGCCGTGAGAGCGGTAAGATCTTAGTAATGATTAGCTAGGCTCAATTAAATTAATTTCATGTAATTAGGCCTGATCTGCCAGAAATCTGGTTACCCCAGAATCAATCCATGTTCCCTTCGTCGTTAATTAGAGAGAAACCAATCTATTGTTTTCAGTGTCGTCTTTAGTGGGGGGCACCTAGGCATATGCCTAGGGCACCACTATCATATGGGGGCACCAATTATCAAAAATAAAACTACTATTATTATGTAATTCATACTCTGTATATAGTACTAGTATTTGGGAATACTAATAAAAGATAAAACAATTGCAAAACTTAATAAAAAGCATATCTATGTTTCATGTGGCCTAGACGGCTAGACTGGTGTAGCTCATTATGAATTATTGCCTTATTTGTACTTAAAGATTTCAGAAATTACCAAACTCCTAAATTAAACTAATTAAAAAATTGGAACATAAGACAAATGTGAAGGCCTCAAGGAAGAGAATTTTTGGAAGGAAAATGTGAAGGTTTTTTATGATTTTTTTGTGATTGTCTTTCAAATTTATATATTTGATTGTATTTTCTTTTTAATATTTTTAATCAACTACTCTATATTACTATATGTAATTAATTGTGAAAAACATTACTGATTAATATTAAAATGCAATTTTAGTTTTTGTCTGGGGCACCAAACCAACTAAAGACGTCCCTGATTATTTTTATCGCTCATTCCCATTAGTTTAATTTTCCAACCCAATCATATCTCGCACGACGCATTTATTTTATTTATTTTTAATCGCTGAATTTAGTTAATTCTTATTTCCCTTTTGTCAGTCTCTGTGGAGATGATACTCGTACTTTTCACCACTATTCTACAATCTTTTCAAGTGCGAGAAAACTCACATCAGTTTTTGGCGTCGTTGCCGGGGACGGTGTCGGTTTTAAGGGTTAATTAATTTCAGCGAGATTTTTTTTAGTTAGTTTTCTTTTTGTTCTTCGTTGGATTTTTTGTGTGCTAACCTTTCAGGTATTTTTCTAAGAGGCATGAGATGAACTCATTCAGCCAAATTCCTAGAGGAATTCCTTACCCTCAAACCTCCATGGAATATTCACCATATACGTCATACCCTGCTTACACTCCTCCTCCTCAATTTTACACACCTCACCAACATTATTCTTCTACACCACAAAATATTCCATCGTCCTATTCTTACCCTCCTCCAAATACGCAATGCTCTCAATCTCATTCTCCTAATCATTATCCTTATCCACAATATCCTCGTACAAAACCAGGCTCCATGATGGGATTTCTCATTCAAACTAAAAGTCCTGAGGAATTGGTTGATTGTTTTCCTAAAAATAGCATTTGTTCCTTCTGTGGAGGTGGTCACCATTCATGTCTTTGCCCCATTCCTCCATACAACCATCCTTACTGGCAACTGCATGTCTGCATACCCCACTTCGTCCTCCCAACAACTTACAAACACAAATGTTTCAATCACTCCTACGTCTTTGCCGAGCTATGAGCCACAAGATTCACACGACGAATTGGAAGAGATAATTTCAGAGAAGCTGTCTGACCTGGAAGAAACACTCAAGCAATTCATGCAAGCAACTGAGGCGCATCATCAATCAACGCAATCGAGTCTTCAGAACATGGAAAATCACTTGGATCAGCTGTTTAACGCCTTATCTGAGGAGTCCGAGAGATCTCATCCTAGCGACACAGAAGCCCAATTTGAGGAGACCAATAGGGATGATCATGGGATTGAGTCAGACTATGATGGTGGGAATATGATGGATGATACACTTCCTGATGCCTTTGAAGACCCACCTATGGTTGAAGATGACGAAGAAGATAATAGTGTCAAGTTGTTTTTCCTGGAATACAAGAGAAAGTTTCAAACGGTACAAATTGTAACTGATGAAGTCACTGATCACTGCGATTTTCATACAAAAACTTCCCAACCGTTTGATTTGCCATTAGTCTCAACACCTGAGGAGGGCAAGAAGCAGATTAGTCATGACATTGATGTAGCCACTGAGGTAGGTTTGGGTACTGAAGATGAGTTGGGAAAAGATGATCATATGCTCCAAGAGAGTGGGGGCGGGGTAGATGATGTCCATAATGAAGAAGTCCCGCTCCACAAGCAAAAATTCCCTTCTTGTACACATGCACCGGTCCACTCTTACGTGGTTTCAGATTTGGATTTCTTTGATCCATTCCTTGGTGATGATATTTCTTTGTGTGTGGAGAATGATCACAACTGCTTGGAGGATATTAATAAGAAGAGTGACGAAACGAATTGGGATGCATTCATCGGGAGTGATATAGAGTCTGGAGGAGAGGTTGTGAACGTTCATGATATTTGTGGAGAAGAAAAAGACTTTTCTATGGTGCAGTTCGATCACGGTGTTGCTCCTAATCTTTGCTTTGAGACATGTTTTGAGCTTCCAGTGACACCTAGAGTAATCAAAGTTTTCACTCATGTTCTCTGTCCGCCCGAAGAGGATGAGAGTTTCATACTTCACTTCTGCGCTGATGAGGGTTATGAAGACCATATGCTACCTACGTGTACTCGAGAATTTAAAGGTCTGCGACACCTAATGACATTTGTTGAGAGGAAGCTGGAGACGTTGATTATTAGTGCACCACTGCAGTCTTTGTTATTTGAGAGCGTATGAGGTAGTTGCGTCGGGCAAACGACGTTAAAAATAGCGCTTCTTGGGAGGCAACCCAAGCTTATTTATGCACCTTTTGTTTTCTATGTATGTTTTTGTGTGTGTTTTGTTTTTGTTGCAGCTCAGGGTCTTGTTGTAGGGATGATGTGCCAAGGATCATTGACTCCGTTTAGTTCTGCACCGACCAGCGCCTTAGGGAAGTTTCTGCGACTTTATAATCGCCTGTTTGTAATAATTGACTTGAGTTAAGTTGAGCACGCGTGACCCTTTCCCTTTACCCCTTGTGCATAGTGCATTTTTGGTCATCGAGGGCGATGCCAAAGTTTAAGTGTGGGAGAGTGAATTGGGCATTCGGGCAGTAGTTGTTACATGTGATTATTAGAGTCAGCATGCACAGGTGTTAGTTGTACATTCATAAGAAAGTCATGTCAAATTTTTGCAAATTTTTCTTTAAATTGTTTCTTTGTGAGCTGGCTAGCGTTTTGACTATGCTTTTAGGACATCTTCGAAGGGTTTAGGCTTAAATTGCTTGCACTATAATCTAGTTGTTGAGAGGATGAAGACATTAGTCACCCATTGAATTAATT